CCACTAGACCGAAATTGGCGCAATATGTTGTTGGGTGACCTCAGTGGTCAGTTAAGTGTCATTGACTTGGAGGATGTGAAATTGTTGAAGCGCCGTCGGGTTCTTGAATCAACTTCTGGCAATACCTGGTGTAGTCATCGCGTCGGGGCAGGGAAAAAGCAGAAATAAGCTCCTGTCCAGCTCAACTGCTGTCTGCTCACGACGGCCCCCAGACCCATGGACCACTGCAGACTTCGTTAAGGCTTAGCCACGGGCAAACTAGGGCGCAGCTGTGCTTCGAGACACGGGCACCACCGAGACACGGGCATCCTCCTGGGAGATACACGGGCAATCTAGAAGAGTTGGTAATTGGCTGGTGGCCACTGACGGACCTCGTTAAGGCTTTGTCACGGGCAGCTCGTCGATCCTGTTCTGGCATTGGGGACCAAGTCTGGTTAGTGGAGAGCGACCAACATACACTGCCGGATGGGGCGTATTGGAGGGCTTTCTGCGAGACACGGTCGGCCTGGCGGAGGGAGACCTCAGGTAACGCGAAACGAGAGTGAAAGCTCTCGCGGGGCGTGGTGTACAATGGCAGCCACTACGGCAGGGTCTGGGCCTGTCAAGAGACTGTCTATATAGCCCGAGAGGACGGATGCGCGTGTCGGTGTACAAACAGCCGGGATTCAACTACCTCATCGCACTGGGGGCCTGAGACTGGTCTTGATCAGTTGAAGCGGTGTCGTCCTAGTTGAATTGCCCGTGATGTGTGCTTAAGGGGCAAACTGAGAGACATCTTCAACCTTCTGCCGCCCGACCGAGAATTAATTTTCGTTAAAACGTCTAAATACGAAGAATCTTGAGACTGTGCAAACAAAAAGACTCGGGGTTCTTTCATCGCGATTTCACTCATACTTTAAAAAATTTCATGCTAAATATAAGGATAATACCGGTAAAGTATATTTAAGTCTAGCTACTTCCGATAGATCTTTAAGGTATAATGATATATATCGAAAGCGAATCTCCACCGTACCGTTGTCAACAGGACTTACACGGCTAAGTGCTTTTAGAGATATCGAAGAACGATGCCAGGTAGAGCGCCGAATAGATCTATACCGGAGTATTTTCACGTTATAATCAAGTAAAGATTCACTGAAGTTCCAAAGGTATACTCAAGTCACAATGTATGATTGATGACGAAGAACTAAATAAATAAGTACACGAATGGAGTGTCCTTATATATCCTTCGTTCCTACTCTCTGCCCTACCCCCTGGGGGTAGATGCTGGAGTCACGGTCACGTGTTCCGTAGTGTCTAGAAAAGGCAGTTTGTCGTGTAGTGGTTTTCCGTTATAGATGGTCACATTTGTAGCCCAAAAACATATTAAATCGAGCTCAAACACGTATAAATTAGTAAGTATCACTAGTCCAAACAGTGCGATAGGCAACTCCTTAGTCTATCGTCATTTTCTGTCTTAACACTATTCTCGCCTACCTCTGGCGGAGAGCGGTCTAAGGCGAAGCCGAGGTGAGTGTAGATTTTGCAATACGGCTTCCCATTAAAACTGTGACAATTTGCCGTTTCCCAATCAGCGATTTTTGTGTACACCCTAGCTTTCACGGGTATTTTTCTGTTAGTCCCTTCCCATTCCACCTTATAATCATGGGCTCTAAAGCTGATACTAGATCATAGCAAAGGCGTTAGCCTAAGCGAAGTAGCGTTTTCCAGATCTCGTAGATCTGGATTTTAGTATAGAATAGATAGCGACAGATGACTTACAAATCTATATCAATCCGAGAGCCAATACCTCCTAATGAAGTATATTGACTAGTTGGCCCTACTATCCATCCTAAACCGTGTGTGACCGCGGGATTAGGATTCGGACCGCCGATTTTATTGTTATTCCAAACTATCGAACGGACAAGTATTAGGGATTCATCATAATGTAGTGCTCTTCTAGGTAAGGATACTAACTATTGCAAAGGGAAGGCGGTGGTTCGAACGGTTTAGTCTCTTCCGGAGTACACCCGTATACAGCAAAAAGGTTTTCACCTCTGTATTAGTTCTCGACGCGACCATAGGGAGGGATGTGGCAGATAGAGCTTTGCGCTAGCAATAGAGGGGCGAATAGTATCAGAGCCAAGCTGAGGGTGAGCAAAGTGGATAGAGAAGTCATGACTTATGGAAATTTGAAACTTGCTAGGGAGAACCTTATATAAGGGAAGTATCGACTTGTAGATCCTACAGGATGGAATAATAACTTCGGAACAGACAAGCATCACTTTATATTCTAAGGTAACGTACCAAGAATTGAGTAATGAAGCATGCTTATAGCCTATATGCTCCTCGATAGTATCATGATAATGCCACGATGATAATAATGCCATCTCAGTACCGTGTGTCGAATGTAGTCTGGACCTTCGATCACCAGATAAATCCCTTAAACGCCGATTATGTTTTAAGGTGCCAAGAAAGCAGATAAGCCTTGTTCTGATCAAAGGTTTGAAGAATACTTAGTGCTAAACCATAGCACCAAAGTTTGGCTAAGCTCTACGCGGTGTCTACATTTCTAGTGAGTTTAATACTGAGAATAAATATGATTAGATAAGCTTTGCTGAGCCCCACACCACTCGATCAGCAAATACGGGGCCGCCACATCATAGTTTATTTGTCATCTGAGATAGCCGCTGGTTCCGTAGCTCTCTATCTTCTCAGCTAATGTTAGCCCATAAAATATCCACTGCTTCCTTGACTACCTAAAAGTCCAGCCGAGATAATGCCGGCAACTGAATAGTTAAACTTTCGGACCAATGGGGCTCTTCACACCTTAAAAGAGTTTTTTCGTTTCTTGAGTATCTCGTAAGACGGGTGTCTTGTGCGAACCTTAATTCTGGAAGTTTTGATAGGGTGCTTCGTGGTCGGGACATAACACCCGAGAGGTGGGAAACATGCACCATTCACTGAAAATGCGCTAGACACTAAAACATGGCCACCTGACCCATTTTGCTTTGCATCATTGTCAAGTCATTGTATGTCAAATGATCTAGATAACCTCGTGCCTCCGAGAGTGTTAAACTTTATGGCTATCCTCTGGCTAGACGATTCTAGGTTCTATCTAGAGTGTCCTACATTCTATGACCAGCCATGCGATATCGCTAGAAACTTAGCCACCGCTTCTACCTCACGCTTAGATAGGAAGATCCATCTCTGTTCGTCCCATAACACTAGGTAGGAGTTGCTTCTGGGCAGGCCAGCTAGTAGATCTTTATCTAAAAAGCGGCTCCAGGGTAGGCTTTTAGGCCGGAGGTAGCTCTAGATGGGAGGTAGCTCTCGGTCGAAGGTACGTATAGATAGGGATACCTCTAGACCATAAAGATCGCATAGAGGCTATGAAATTACCACTGTTTTCTTCCTCCCTGGAGGGCTGGACAATAGCTCTCCCTATGTAGTGCCCTCACCACGCGGTTGCTGGCCATCCTATCTAGTGATTCGCACCGTACGATCGCCCGATCAGA